TTCAAAGTTGTACTATGCTGCTGCACGAAATAAGGTGTGAGCCACTGTATGTATGCAGACAGGAGTATATTAGACCATGAACAAAAGTATAAGTATATAATTAATATATGTATGTACTGAATTTGAGTCAATTGGGCCACCTACCATTATAATTTTAAACTTTTAGCCGCTGTGCTCCTTCCTTTCCATGTGCTCACGCAGTACGTCAATTTCTAGTCGCTTCTCTTCGTCTACTGACAATTAGAGCGAGCCTCTGCGATAGCTTCAATAGCCATCTCACTCTCACTCAGCAACTACATTTGTATATTTAGCAACAGCTATCTTTGTCCCGCTCTCTCTTTCTCAATCATTGCGAACTTAGCGCATGCAGTGCAGAAATGAGCTGCGTGAAGCTAAGACGCATACTCACATGGATAACGTTTTTACAACAATACCATGCAAGCTCTCAGTCTCACACTAATACAACTGCAAGAGTTGCAGGCAACAAAGAATTGGGAAACGAAACTCTGCCATTAAGCTCACAATAAATTACGCTTTATTATTTTGGCGAAGGGACATGTATATTCATACATACATACATACATACATTTACATACATATGTACATATGCATTCATATGTATATTATATACATACATATACATAGACATATATTACGTAAGTCGATAGCTTAATAATTTCAAATTCAATTTTATGCATCAGTAGCAAATAAGGAGGAACTGAAAAGGCCCACAACCCAATATGAAATTTTTAGCAATTAGTAAATAGATCAATAAATGAACTGCCTATACGGCACCAAGTCAGAAGCAGATTCATGTGAGTTTTTGCATAGAGCATGTATGTTTGTACATACATATGAATATGTATGTATTGAGGAAGGCACGCATTCGCGAGGTATGTTCGAAAAGTATCGCAAATTTTTGGTTTTTGATTTCAATTTTAAAACTATGTTTTTGTTTTTAAAAATTTCGACATTCGCGGAGCTAAAGACGCCATTGAAGGCAAGGTTAAAAAAGATCAGAAAAATTATATTCTATAAAATAAAAATCTAAATAAAATATAAGTATCGCCTAAAACTTAATCGGAGCTACTTTAAAGTACACAAATTATTATTGATTAAATAAAATCATTGCCCATATCGGCCTATAATAGGTCATTTCATCTCCAAAATGTGCAGTACTTTTCAAACCAACCTCGTACATACACATGCATGTATGTACGCTTGTATTTGTGTCTTCATGTGCGTGCGCTTTAAATGACGTCCTTGCTTGCATCCAGGCAAAACGTTTTCTAATGGCGTCTTCACTTAGATTAGGTCAATTGGTATATGTATGCTGTGAGCACTCGATGCGACCAAACGAAAAAAGAAAAAAACAGAGTAAAAATCACTCATTTTACTTACGTACACGTACACTGTATGTATGTATGTATGTATGTGTATATATGTATGTATGTATAGATATTTGGTCAGAAAGCCAAAGACGCAAACTTCTCGATGGCCATTGATGGTGATACGTCCGGCGTGGAGCACTGTGACCGGGCTGCGAGCTGGTCTAGATGAATGCGGAAATTTCCAGGTGCGGTTGCGGCCACAACGTCCACCCATTCTGCCCACTTAACGGGACTGTTGCAGCCAAACTGCTAACTGCTGCTAACAAGCTGGCAGCGAGCAGCGTTGACAGCGCCATGGGAACAGTGGGAACAGTTTGGGGCTTCAGGTCCGGTTGGGTTTAAGTGTTTTATGAACTCGTTTCAATGAAGTCATACAAAGTGCGTGAGTTGCACAGACACAGACATATGTATATACAATATAAATATAGATGTGTATGTACATATAAATATAGTTATATGTGTGCGTGTCGTTGCAGGTGACATGTGGCAACAGAAACCATGTCTCTGTGCCTTAGCTGACCTGCCCGTGGTGCTCCAACTCGACCCGTCGTCGTCTGTCGTCTGGGGCATTGAAGCTTTTAATTTGATTTTCGTTCAAGTGCGGTTTTCCAACCAATCCATAGTCACCTCTCTCTCTCTCCCAAACACACACACACACACACTCACTCAATGGACAGGTATATGTGTGTGTGCGTGTGTCAGTTCGAAACTCAATTCGGCTTTGTCGGTTGCATTGAACTTGAGCCTGAGGAGCCTCTGCTCCTGCTCCTGCTCCTGCTGCCGTTGCCTCCTCGGCTTCGTCCGAGCAGCTCGAGCGCATGTTGCGCTCTAATGAGCAACACACATCTTAATTACGGCTAGTCCAAAATATCCACACGAAAAACGATTAAAAGAGAGCTGTATGCATATCTTGAGCTGGAAACTCATTGAACACTTCACAATCAAATTCAATTCCAAGTGCTGTCCCCCCTTTCTATGCGATTTTCATTAGTTGAAATTTTAGTTTTTCTATATATCTACATACATACATGCATATGTGAGTTAGCTCTAGCGAAGGATGGAGGATTCTCTAATCTAACATTACAGGGGGAAAGACAATCAATCGTTCCTAGACTTACTTTTAACTTTGTAGAAATGTAGGGAACAATAACTATAATTTTCCTATAATTAATTAAATTTCAGATTCGGATTTTTCTTGCCTTTAAAAATATATGATTGTATATTATAAAATATTTACTGAATTTAAAATATATACATATATATGTCAAATCGTTTTTCTTATCGTCATTTAATTAAATTGAATTATAAAATATTTATTGTGCAGTTCGCATTATCAACACAACAAATATGCAAATCGGTCAGGTGTGAAAGTGGATAAACATAACAATAACAACACAATAATATTCAGATTGCAATGGCCAGTCGTGTTTGATTAGCGGATACCCTGTAAGCGAAAAATAGTAAATACCCTATCATACAAACTATAACTATTAGAAACTTAAAATAAACAGAGTTCGATGTATGTATTTATGTTTAAATAAGACTAACAGTTAACAGTTAACAAGTTACTTCAATTTTAGAATATATATACATGTAATATAATCTCATCTTTATCAGTAATATAGTTTCCCTCTAAAATATGCTTCAATCGATTGTCGATCGATGTTTTTCGCTTTTGCAGATGAAAATAAAATGATAGTAGAGTGAGTGCTCTTTTCTCTCGTTTATACAAATCAAAAATCACTATTAATCGATAGAAATCGATCAAATTTCGATAAATATTAGCCCATGTTGATAATTTAGAAATCATCTATATATATGTAACTTGTACACGCTCTAAGCTCAGCTTAATCGGAATACTGTCACATACTCTATCGAGCAAACAGACTACCCCTCTTGCCAAACCGCCATTGATTGGCTTTGGTTTAAAGAAAATATGGTACGTGCGAGGAGTGGAAACCGCAGAAGCTTCGCAATCGGCGACCATTTGCAAAGGAACTCAGCATGCAGCGGCTACGCCAGGTGTTGGCCAACTGGAGGAGGCGCCGTGACGCTGAAACGGAACGAACAGCTGGACAGCTGCAGTGGCACACAAGGGAGCCGACAGCTGTGGATGAGCCCGCATCGGCAGTGGGCTGGCGCAGGATACTGGCGTTAAATACGGACGAATTTTGCCGCAACACGAGCATACACGGCCTCAAGTACATCAACAGCCGCAGGCTGCACGCCGCGGACAGGTGAGGGCGTCAAAGCCGGAAAGAAAAAGACAAAACGAAAATGAAGGTAAACAAAGCAAAGATAAATGCAGATTCTTCTTTGGGCTCGCTCTGCTGGCGGTGCTTGGCTGTGCTGGTTTCCTAATGCAAGACGCCTTCGTCAAGTGGAACACGACGCCCGTGATAGTGGGCATCAATCCGGAGCCGACGTACATCACCAAGGAGCCCTTCCCGGCGCTCACCATATGCAATCTGAACCAGGCGCTGGCCTCCCAAGCCGCCCGGCTGCCCAACGACTCATCACAATTCGCCATGCTCCAAGTCCTGTGCCATCGCAAGCCGCACACGCAGCTCAGTCGCGGCAACAACAACTGGGAACAGCTGATCAGCAATGTGAGTGCTTTGACCACCATCCCTGTCGATCCACATTGAGTTGCATCCCTCTTTCGCCAGATCTCACAGCCATGCGGCGACATGGTCATCGGCTGTCGCTTCGGCGCCGTCGACTATCACTGCGAACGCATGTTCCAGCCGATCATCACTGACGAGGGCCTCTGCTGTGTCATCAATATGCTCCATCCACGCTTCATGTACAAGCACAAGTAAGGGCAGTAATCAGACTTCATATAAAGTATTGATTATATACAAACATACATATGTATGTATGTACATGTGTAAATGTGTTTTTCCAAATTTATAAGCCACAGATTCAGAGTTCTTTTCATAGGTCAATATGCTTAAAAGCTATTATGTATGCATATATATATGTATGTATGTACATGTATCAGTTAAAAGCTTAATTTGGAGTAAGGAGTTGAATTCTCAGCAGAGCTTGCCAATAATAACTGCTTATTTGCTCCTTACTCTCTTCTATTCGCGATATCAACTGAAAAAAAAAAAAAAATCATACTCTTTCGCTCTCACACTCGGTTCTTTTCGTTTCTGTTTTCTGTCTGATCTAGTCGTGTGGCTCTCTTCTAACAAACATCGTTTAGGGAGAGAGAGAGCCAATTGACGCTCACACAATGTATGTACATCTGTACGTAGATGTGTTTCTCCAAAAGTGTAAGCCACAGATTTAAAGTTGCTTTCATAGGTCAATAGGCTTAAAAGCTATTTTGTATACATACAAAGGTAGTTAGACATGTATCAGCAATTAAAAGCTTCATTTGAAGTGCTTTCTAAGTAACGAGCTGAATTCTCAGCAGAGCTTGCCAATAATAGTTGCTTGTTTGCTCCTTACTCTCTTCTATTCGCGATATCAACTGAAAAAATAATCATACTCTTTCGCTCTCACACTCGGTTCTTTTCGTTTCTGTTTTCTGTTGAGCGCTTTGATCTAGTCGTGTGGCTCTCTTCTAACAAACATCGTTTAGGGAGAGAGAGAGCCAATTGACGCTCACACAATGAAGAGCAGCAAAGCAAAACTTCACAACATATGCACATACACATACTCACGTACGCTATTGATGTACTTAGCGAGCACAGTCCTGTGGCTCTCTTCTAACAAACATCGTTTAGGGAGAGAGAGAGCCAATTGACGCTCACACAATGAAGAGCAGCAAAGCAAAACTTCACAACATATGCACATACACATACTCACGTACGCTATTGATGTACTTAGCGAGCACAAACTTCGCATACATGCGCATACGACGATATTTTACTCCACCAAACGGTCAGAGAACAATAAGAGCGGTGTCTAGGCGATCGAGCATGAGCACGTTTAAGAACCGATGCTCTCTGAGTCTTTTCTCAACGTGTGAGTAAATGAGACACCTAATTGAGCATTTTCTTGCAGTGTGCCATTGACGCTCCGCAATTGGAATAAATCGAAGCGCTATCGGGCAGTCGACTGGCATGCGGAGCTCGGTTACAGTCGCAGTCTGGGGAGCGACTATTATCCGCGCTCCTCGCTGGGCACGGGCGAGTCACTGGGCATGTCGTTGATGCTAAACGTAGAAGCAGATTCTTATTACTGTTCATCCAGCAACAGCATTGGCTTTAAGATCGCGCTGCACAGCCCCAACGAGTCGCCGAATGTGCGCGAGACCGGCGTGCTGCTCTCGCCCGGGCTGGAGACAAAGCTGCGCATCGAGCCGGCGAAAATGATGACGGAGCTGAGCCTGAGGCATGTGCATCGCAAGTACAGGCACTGCCTGTTCCAGAACGAGGGCAATCTCAGCTACTTTGCGCACTACACGCAGCGCAACTGCGAAATGGAGTGCATGTCGCGCCTGCTGCTGCAGCGCTGCGGCTGCGTCGTCTTCTACATGCCGCGCATCAATGGCAACGACACCGTCTGCAGCATCCGCGAAGCGCAGTGCGTGGAGAGCGTGCGGCTGCACACGATTGGACATGTCGTCGAGTCGTGCCTGGATAACTGTCTGCCCAGCTGCTTCGATCTCAGCTACCAGGCGACCACCTATGCCACCAAGATCTCCTACAACGACTTCCGGCACGCCAACGCTCACATGCGCAACCTCAGCCAGGCGTACGTGGAGCGGAACATAGCCGTTGTCAATCTGTACTACAAGGAGCACACGTTCCGTGCCAGCAAACAGACCGAGTTCATCGGCATATCCGATTTTTTGTGTGCGTCAAGGCAACCAAAGAAAGTTTTGCTAGTTTCGGCTGACCGACTCTGAAATACCCTTGCTAATTGAGATAAGGCATATAATATATGGGGTATATATATAAATGCTCATTAGTTCCAGGTATATACATATTTATGAAAGAGATCCGATATGCAAGGTCCTCAAGGCAATGAAATATCCTTGCTGATTGCTTACGGGTTACATAGAGATATCCTTGCCAACTGATTAGGGTATTGTATATATCGACTTTGATATAGAGTATATACCTAAATATATAGAAGAGTCCATATCTCTCCGATCAATGCAATGATTGTCACCCATCCGCTTTACATCTCACCTAAATTTCAAAGTACCCCATAGCAGTGATATACAAAAGCAAGGGTATTCCGAACGGATTCCAAAAGAGAAAAAACTTAAACCACAATTGAGATTTCCTCTGTGTGTGTGTCTTTTTTTTCGGAATTTTCAGCCAACGTTGGCGGTTTAATGGGCCTGTTTCTGGGCTTCAGTTTTCTGTCGATAGCCGAATGCGTGTATTTCGCCCTCATACGTCCGTGCCGCATTTGCGCACAGTTACGGCAGCAACGCGCGGTATCGGCCTTAGAGCTAGGCAGAGGCAGAGACAGAGACAGAGGCACAGGCAGAGGAGGTGGAGACAGAGCGACACCGCCAGTTGTAGTTCCAATTAAAAGAACCAAAGTGCACGTAAGTGCGATGATGCCACAGCTGCAGTGGCAGAGGCAGCGGCAGCGACAGAGGCAGAGGGCATGGCAGCAGCAACAACACATTTCCTCCGCCAACTGGCTCCAAGCGGAGCTGAGCCAGCAATACAATCTGGCTTAAAATTCTACTTTAAATTTAGGTAAAGAATTTCAAATATAAATATTAGCCTTATAAACAGATATAGTATATATATATATATTTACTTTATATATTTTTTTCTTTTTTCTATTTTATAATATATCCCAGTATTTGGTAACTATATCATACTGAGGCAGCGCAAAGTTTGTTGGCCGCTCGTAGGCCATTGTAAACTGTTTTACTTCCTTTTTCACCTCATCATCGAAAATCTAAAAAGACAGAGTTTAACAATTATAAATATTCTATAATATATCTTAATCTTAAATACCAAAATGGATACTAACATTGCATTCCTTTGTTTCCAGCAGCGACGATAGATCAAATTCGACCATGGGCAAACTTTTGGTGATAAACTTAGCGGCATTGGCTACCTCGGGCACCGCGTGCTTCTGCAGCAGCACCAGCTCCCAGAGCGAGCTTTGGAGGGCGCCCGATTTGACCGGATCGAGCTCTGTTTCATCATAGGGATCCGCAATTTCAACGGCTGCAATTACAATATACAGATATATCACAATATGTTTTATTTGAATATATGATGCACTTGGCCTTACCGCTTGCTGCACCCGTTGCACAAATGAGACGCTGCAGGCCTGTGTGGCGCAGCAATAGATTGCATATGAAACGTATCATTATGATGGCATCCTCGGTTGGACTCTTGAGGGCGAGTCTAGCCAGACGCTTGGCGAAAGCGGCCACCAAATTTTCGGGCAAATGCGTTGAGGTCAGAAATATATCGGCCAAATAAAACAAGCGCGCCTTGTACTTATTGTAAAACATGCGTGGATAGAACATATTATAGAGCTTCTGATAGACATCTGGGTATGTGATATTTTGCTTTTGCATCAACGTGAAGATGCCCTGCAGAGCCAACAGGGCGATGGGTCCGTCTGCAAAGATGAAATTTTCAATTGTATTTTATGGAATTTAAGCAGTCTCTCGCCAGCCTACCAAACTGATGCAGTGAATCCATTAGAAAGTCTGTTAGCAAAATGGGATTCTTCAGGTGTGGTAGTATACGTTCCAAGAGCACCACGAGAACTTGGCGATGCACCTTCTCGTCCACGCCATTGCACGATGCAATGATGCCATTCCAAACCTTATTTAGGAGCTGGCGCGTTCGATCATAATCAAAGGTGGACTCTGGTCCAATATGGAATTGTTTGTCATTTAGCACCGTCTTGCCCAAGTCCAGCAAATTGATGATGGCCAAATAGTTAAAAGCTAAGTTCGGTGTATCGACATAACTTTTTGGTGCCAGACCAGGCAATAGTTGATATGTAAACTGCAGCACATCCAAGCAACGAGTGAATTTGGCGAACTCCGCCAGAGCTGCGGTTGGCGTTGCCTCTGCATTGATCAGCGCCTCGAGGATGCTGCGCAGCCGTGTAACGGGCCAATCCTTGGATCTGCTGTGCTTGGCCTCGGCAGCTATCAACTGCATGCATACCTTGAGCGCAGTGCCAGCTTCCTCCTTGGAGGCATTTCCCAAGTTGGCCAGCAATAAGGACCAAGCTTTATTGTATTGTATTTGACATGTTGCGTTGGGTTCCTGTGGCTTGGCATTGCTCTTACACGTTTTATTCTCGGCAGTCGAAATGAGTTTGCGCTTGAGTAGATTTCTGAAGATCACCTCAAGCACGTACATGATGCCGACGGCATTGCTGTCGGGATTTTCCTATAAAATTGAGACATTACATATTATTTAATTTTTGCATTCAATCAACAGCAATTTACTTACCAAGAGATTAACAATTTGCTTTAGAGCTTTTGTGTTCACAGGATTGGAATTTAAGAAATCGTTGGCTTTTTGCTGTAAAGCGGCTGGCACATTCGCACGCTTTGCAGCTAACTCTGGAGCCTGTTTATTGGCTGATTTATTTTCTAAATTATTTTGTTTCATACTGCACAATTTACCATTCGATAATATTTAATAAACAAAACATGCACAAAATAATAATAAAACGTGCGCGCAGTTGAAATGCTGCCAACTCGTTAAACTATTTACGCAGACTTTGTCTATAATTAGTACATTTTTTGTCAATCCTCAGCACATGTGTGCATATATGTATATACATATATTCGCTTAAATACTCAGTGCTAGCTGTTATTTTTGCTTAAACTGTGCATAATTGACAGTTACCCGACATGAATGTCAGTACGGATTTTAAGCCTGTGCTGACCCGCGCCGCGCTTGCGTTGAAGAAATCATCGGATGAAGCTGAATTTAAGGCTTTGGTATTCCAGGAACCACAAGCGACAATAACAACAAATAGCCCAGAGAAATCATCAACAGATACTAGCACAGGCAAAACAACAAATGTAAAGAGGCCAAAGGAGGAGGATAATGAATTCGATATTAAGAAAGCACGCCAAGAGGTGCTCAACTTTGCCATATCCAATCAAAGGACGATCAAGAACAAACGAAAAATGGAAATATTTCAGCTAATCAAACTTGGCGCCAAGCCACCAAAGAAGGCATACAAAAACTACAAGGAACTGAAGGCGGAACGCAAACGTCTACAGGAAGCTCGAGAGGAGCGCAAGAAATTCCATCAATTGGGCAAAAATCAAACTGGCGCAGCGAGCGTCAAGTGCAACAAGAAAACGAAGGAAAAGCGGCGAGTGCCTGTTGCTAATATAAGCCAGCATTATGGCAAAGCAGAACCGAAGTTTAAGAAACGAAATTAAAAGACTTAAGACTATATACATAAGTGATTTTTCAATTGTAATGGGGAACATTTTTGAATGTTGTAAACAAACTAATCCACATACATATTAATACATGTATATGCATGTGTGCGTCTGTATTAATGAATCGCTAAATGATAGTTGATGTTTAGAACTAAATGGCAACGCCACAAACTTGGAGCTGCCAATCTTCTGTAAATCATCTGATTTTTGTTGTTTTTTTTTTGCACTTGATATTGTCAGTTGTGCGATTACGTGAATTCTGTTTGACGTTTACGTTTGTGTTGAATTTGTCATAAAAATGAATGCAGCCCAACGCGCCGCTTTCAACCAACTGCTACGACGCGGCTACAGCCAAGCCGCTAAGGGCACAGGTGCCTCAAGACCCGCACCAAGCAGCGGCAGCCGAGTCTCCGCCACACCTGGACCCGCAGCACCAACCGTTAAGAACGTAACTGGACTAAGCAGCGCCTGTGTGAGGCCGACATCGACACCAGTCGGTCCAGGAGCATCTCCAACTGGCGACTACAAAGTTCCCGAATATTTCTGTTTCAATCGGTTCAGTTATGCGGAGGCTGAGGTCGAGATGGCCAAATACCGTTGCCCACAGCCATCTGCATTGAATAAAAACTAAAATATTGTAATTAACGAGCAAAGAGTCATACAAAGAAATGTTAATATTAAAATACATATATAATAAACGATGATACGGAAATATATCCCCAAGAATTGAGCATAATAATACATATACGGGCTCACGTATATAAATATATTTTTATATGTATGTATTATCATAAATATGAGTGCGTAGATATGTATAAAAATATCGAAATGTAGACATGTATGTATATATATTGGGCATGCCCACCTGTTACACAAGGTTGGCAGCCCAACACATTTGAGCATCAGTTGGCAGTCCATTTTGCCTCTTTTATTTTTGCACTCGCTCTCTCTCCTCTTCCACTTCTATTACTCTTTATAATTTCATGGCGAGTGGCAGTGCTGTGGTGTTCTGGGTAATCGACATCGAAAATATTGAGCGCGGGAAGTGATATTATTACAGTTTAGCATCCAATTTGTCAATGTGAAAAACAGAAATAAATAAACTAATTTTTTTAATTTAATACGTGTTAAATTCCAAGTGTATCCAACCTCGACCAAATACAATTATAAATACAAAACTACAATTTGTTGCACGGCGCAAGCCACGGGGTAGCAGCTCTGTTTGTGCGTGTATGTGTGGTACAGTTGGGTAGAAAAACATTGCTGGCCTGGCAGCGCCGCACAATTTTATGAGTTCCAGAGCAAATGCAAAGCGAGCGAAATCAACCAAAAAGATCTTTTGCAAAACAAAAACAGTGACGTTACGGAAATTTCAGCGAATGATATTACTGACGAAAAACACAAATACAATCATTTAGCTGCAAATAAATATGTATAGCGTTGCCAATTTGCTGTTATAATTCACAACAGGGACGTCTTGTCGAGCGCAATCGAAAACGCAGTGCAGTGAAAGTGTGCGAAACAGAATCACAAAAATCGCTTAGGAAAAGGAAAACCGAAAAATGTAAAACCATTTAATGTAAGTGCGAGACGATTTTCAAAATGCTTCAGTTCTACAAAAAAAATTATATTTAATTGAAATGCGACAAGAGAGATATGTACATGCATTATGTGTGTGTGTATGTGAATATATATTAATATTAGATATATGTGAGTGTATGTACATACAACTGGCGCGCAAAAATCAACGTAGTTGCTAATAGAGCACCAAAAATGACGAAAATGGGCGCCAGAGTTGTCGCACAATCAGAATAGGGAGGAGGACGTGATGAGCTATTTGAACACGAAATAACCACGAACAGAAAAACATATAAATTGTATAAATAAGATTATATGATGTGAGGGCCATTTTTAATTTAAAAGTTCTTAGATTCATCATAAATAAATATAGTATATAGTACATATATATTATATGTACTATTCTGTTTTGTAATTTATATGTATATATTAATGTACGATTAACATATTCAAATGTCACTCACGAAGCAACGAGACGTCCATCTCTAATTGCTCTGACCGTGTTGTCATTACTCTACATTTCAAGTTTTGTTTTGTTTTTATGTTTTATTTATATCAGTATTATTTCTTGCATATTTGCGTTTACAAATAGTTTATACGATTTTCAATTAATTGCAGTGACTTATGAAAAATGCGAGCTGGAAAAAAGACGGAGGCTGAGATAGGAAAGACTCGACCGTGTATAGTATACGTAAAAAATCTGAAGGAATCCGAAGCCACCGATATAATCAACAACTCATCATCAACCACATCCGGTAAACAGACGAAAGCATTGCGCATCTCGACAAGGCGAACTATTAAGGAAAAAGATCTGGACCAACTAGTAATAGAGACACCGCGAGCGACGCGCACTTCCAAACGAGCGACGACCGTTACAAACATTGAGCTGTCTTCAATCAAACCTAAATCAAGTGTAAGTCCTCCACGCACGCGTAACACGAAAGCCGACGAACCATCTACAGTACCGCGGGCCGCAGCCAAGACTGCGAAACAGCAAATCAAGGCAGTGGCAACACCAGTGACCAAGCGGCGCAACACAGCGCTAATATTACCCGTGGCCCGGCCGTGCACTCCGCTGAGGAAGCGGCGTGACACGTTAATTCAGACCCAGATCCAGTCCGAGCCGCAGCCTGAGGAGATCGTTAGCGAGCCGAAAGCGAAAATGTACAAGTCAAAGATGGCCTCCACGGCAGTGGCAACTCCGCCGCCAACTATTGCGGCAAGTCGATCGCGCCGCTCGATCAAACCGAATCCAAAATATGCCAGCGATGATATGGTGACGCCAAAGTATGTGTCCGCACTGGCTAGCGAGAATACCGGCAAGCGTTCGGTCAAGCATCTGTTTACCGACGACGATGACGATGAGGACGAGGATTTGCGCGATTTGATCGAGGAGGACAACGACGACGAGCTGAACGACGCGGCATTCAATCCGCAGCTGCACAAATCCGACGATGATGATGACATCAGTGAACGCGACTTTCAGCAGCAGCTGCGACGAGAGAAGGTGCCGCCGAAACGTGGACGTGGACGTCCACCAAAATCGGCCAGCGCCGCGGCAGCCGCGAGCAACAACAGTCTGCAGTCCCAGGCGGGACGTGGCGGAGCCACACACTTGCAGCAGCTGCGACGCACTATGGCACCCAATCTGGCGCGCTCCCAAGTCAAGGTGATGGCTTCGCCGACGCCGGGCAACAAGCGAAAGCTCGAAGATCACAATGATGGGCCGATAGCACGCAAGCGCATGACCAGCGACTGGCCCATTATCAATGGCAGCACATCTGCGTCCAAGACGTCGGGTCTCACAGTGTCCAAATCGAAGGTAGTCGTGAGCAACAGCAGTGGAAACAACAACAACAGCAGTAGTGGCGCCAGCAATGCCAGCGGTAGCCTACGCATGCTGCAATCGGCCAACGCCAAGGCACGGCCGACATCCACTTACAAAGTGGCCACGTCCACAGGTGGCGGTGTGCGCAATGCTGGTTCCCCTCAAGTGGTGCGCACAGGCACAGTCAGTCGTCAGTCCGGCTCGAGCAATGCGCTCAAAGTGCAGAAGGCATCGGCAGCATCAGCTGCGAATGCTGCTGCCATGAAAGCAGCAGAAGCAGACGATGTGCCCACGTTCACCATCGTGAACATTGATGACATTATTAACCAGGACGATGTGCTCATTACCCGCTCCTCTTCCAATGGTGGCGGCAGCAAGAAATTGCTCTCTGGCGCGAGGAGCAACAACAATTCGCGCACAAATCAATCCACTTCCTCCCCCATAACAGCGATGAGCAGCAGCAGGAATAGCGGCGGCACGCCAGCCGCCAATGCGGCAAATAAGCGTCTCAAGACAACAACAAGTGGAGTGGGAACAGGAACGGGAACTGGAGCGACAGCCAAGCATCCATTGACAGTTAATCATAATAAACAGACGTCGCTGGTCGTCTCTGTGGGTCAGGCGAAGCCGCGTCCGCGCATCCTCAATGCCGAAATGGGCAAAAAGACGCAGCCGATGATGAAGCCACTGATGAGCATGGGCAAGGAGTTGTGTCCGTTGACCGATGGCGACAACACCGAGGATGAGGATATGGCCAATGATCTGGCTGACGACGACATCTCCATATCACCCACTTCAGCAGCAGCAGCTTCTAATCAGGCACGCCTAATGCGCCGTGTTCAGACGAATACCACAAAATGGTCGACCAATCGACGACAAGTGCTCTCGGCGACAGCGTCGTCCAACGCCAGCAACAATCAAAGACATCAACAGCAGCAGCAGGATCGCAAGCTGACCAAGCTGCTGGGTGAGGGTAGCGATGATGATGTGTTCAAGAAGCCGGCCAGTCCGTCGACGTCGACAACTGCGGTGCGTCGCTACAAGGAACATGCAACAGATGAGGATACAGCGGTGACGGCAGCCGAACCAGAACCGGAGGCCAAACAGCCCAAATACTTTCCGCCGGAGACAACCACATATTGTGAGGAGGATGGCAGAATAGTCAAGAAGATAACCTGCTATGAGACCTGGCATGTGATCAGCGCGCCCAAAGAGACGTCGAACAAGACACGCCAGCAACGCACCTGCCTCGAAATGCCGCTGGTCAAGCTGGCCAATATGGCGACAAGCATCAAGGTCCCGTCCACCAGATGGACAAGCAAGGTGACCCTCTACAAGCTGTCGCCATCGCTGCAACGCCAGACAATGACCGTGTTCAAGGGAGATCTGAAGAGCTACAATATACCCGAGGAAGAGCGCCACAAATATCAGCCGTCGTGCGTGCTCTTCCGTCGCTCCGTGCTCGATCGGAGCAAGTGCCGTGTACCGTTCGATCGTGCCATCATATTCAAGAACAAATGCTTCTATGCCAACATCGACGGCAAGCATGTGAATCTGCTGGGTGCACCCGAGGTGGTTAGCTCCTTCAAGGAAGTGGAGATACTGATCGATGTTGTTGACTCGCTGTCGCTGTCCAGCGATCTTGTCGAGATGGTCACCTCCAAGTAATGAGTTGGCCTAGGTATGTAGGGATGCGAGATCACTGAGGAGGATTCTAAATACATACTCCAGTATGTATGTGTGCGAATGGAGATATATGCATGCATACACACACACAAAATTAAACACCCACACACACATACACATATATATACATATATATGTACATATATTCTATTTTTTTGGATTATCTATAATCTATTTTTTTTTTATTCGATTTAAAATAGTTGTAATAGTTACTTTAGCGTAATAGTTACTTTAGCTGTTCGTTATATCTACATAAATGTAATAAAAAAAAAAAAAAAAGAAAAAAGGATTTCAAGGTAAACTGCACTAAACCCAATTACCGATACAAAATCCTGGAAATCTATATAGAGATATCTATATAAACTGTTTCAAAACTCTGAATGAACGAATGACTTTCAGTGTGAAGTGTATAATTTTAACATAACTTAAAAAAAAAAACATAAACATATATATA